GATCAGGCAAGGGGGTAGTTTTTGAGAGGTTGTAGATATAAAGAGACTTATGGGATCGAGGGGCTGCTTGAAAATTCATCTGCATTCACGCAGGGCTTCGGAATCCTCTTCGGAGAATGTTGCCAAACATTGAACTGAGAGGTCTTTCCCCTTTGCAGTAAATCTAAGCTTAAAATTGGCACCAGGCAATAGGCAGTGAGTAAGGGGGAGGGTGGGTGTAAATGATTACAGGAAATGAAGAACTAGATTTCAGCCTGGGATTGCTTCCTCCCTCCTCCCTCCACATTAGCATGGTCGGTAACTGAGTACTTTTTCTGATCATGGTATTCTCTTTCTTGCTGCATCCAAAAGTTAACACTCAGCTGTCCTTCCTTCCACGTGTGCTGAGAATTTGCATTCTCAGCAGAGGACAGTGTGCAAGGCACACGCACTTCTGAGCCAAGCCTTTCAAGGGACCCACAAGTTCCACTCCTATGGACTGTTGCACAGCCATCCTGAGCAAATAGACTCATAGGGTACATTGCTACCCTTCCCAAAACAGCTCATAGTAAAAGGAGAAGAGGATTTACTCAGCTTTTGACATGCACATTCATAGAAAGCAAGGTTTTTAGAAAGCCAAACCTCAAAAACAAAACTGAAGCATTTTTGGCCTTTGAATGGAAAAGAATTTTAGGAGGGAAAGGTGAGAGAGAGGGGAGGAGTATTCTTACAAATCTGATTATTCTTAGGGTTCAGTCTTAATTTATTATTGTTTTTGTTGCTGAATAAGGATGGGTTGGAAATTTTTTCCTCCTTTTGTGCTTTAGTAACATCATAAGTTTTCCCAATTTCCTTTTACCTAAAATTTAAGGTTAGTGCAGGAGGTATTAAATGGAAGTTAAATGGCTACCAGGAGTACTGTGCTCTCTTTAAATTTAGACGCATTCTCTTCTCTCTTTTCTGGAGATACAGATGCAGGGAGGGGAGAGGGAAGTTCGTCCTTCCTCCCACTTAGGGGTGTGATTAGGGTCCAAGGACAGAGAGGCCTCAGTTTGGAACTGGATGACTCTACTCTCTGGTGGCAGTGCTTGAGGGAAACTGTAGACAGTGTTTTGTTTTTGTTTGTTTTTATTTCTGTAAAATGGGGCCTCTGGAGCATTGAGTGCAGTGCTTACCAGAAGTCTTGCCACATCATGATAATTCAGTGAATCTTAGTCTCCTTCTTCTTGTAGGCAAACTGTTGCCTTTTCTGTCTTTATCACATCTTTTCAAATTCACAACCTGACCTAGCTCCAGTCATTCTAGCCTCTTTTATAAAGTCTCTTCTAAGCTGCACCACCTTCATGGTCATGGCTGGTCCAGCAGTACTGTGGATAGGTGTGTCTATGAATCCCTGATGCCCAGGTTTGTGGTTGTCCCTGGTTTATGCCCCTGTCTAATCCAAGGCAGAGCTGCCCAGTTGATTGGCTTTGACATCAGACAAGACTCCAGTCTTGCATCTGGCTCTCACCAGCCTGGATCCTAATTTATTAAGTAATCCCACCCACCTTGAACCTCACTTCCTTATAACTTACTTTGTGGGTCCCACACATTTGGCGCCTAACTGGTTAGCAGCTGCTGGTTGAGTCATCTTAACTGAAGGTGCATTCTTCCCATTGGGACTGTTAGCACATCATAAGGATGTTTTTTAAAACCTCACTTAATAGCATTGAGGGGAGGGGGTATAGGGGCCATCTGTCACCTAACCCAGCTCAATAAACATTTTAAAGCTGTGGCCTTAGGAGGGTTTTAGGACTCCAAATCTCAATTTGTGAAAAATCAGGTCAGAAACCTTCCTGAGACACACCTTTAGATTAGTTATGTACACAATATATTCATAGCTCCTTGTTTTAAAAACTAACAACAGGAACCAAGGCATGATGATGCATGCCTGTAATCCAAGCTACTCAGGAAGCTGAGGCAAGAGGATGGCAAGTTTGAGGCCCACCTTGGAACCTTAGTGAGACCTTGCCTCAAAATAAAAAATAAAAAGGGCTAAAATGTAGTTCAGTGGTAGGGCACTTGCCCAGCAAGCAAAAGACCCTGGGTTCTGTCTCCATCATCTCGACTCATCCCCAAAGAGAACAACAATACTTTCAAATCTCCATTTAACTTTTGTTAGTTTGGGATGGGGTCTTCATGTTTCCAATAGGGGATTTTTTTTTTAAGTTCATTTTCCTTTTTTTCCTTACCAACTGAAGTTCCCTGGGTTTCAGAATCTATTTTAAATAATACTTTATTATTGTGTGACTGTATTCTTTGAGAAATATACCTAGCAGATGACCCTGCACATATCCTCACAAGTAGAACTTACACAGATTCCCCTTCCATGGGCTAGCCACCAGCTTGGGCATCTGTTGTGAGCACCAGTCCCCAAGTCCCACCAGGCTCCAGAGATGCTGTCTTCCAGTGGGAGACTATCCCATTCCTTCCTTGCAGTTTTCTTGGTTGTAGGGGAGGTGAATAAATAAGTAAAACTTATTTTCTATAAAAGAAACAGGAAGTGGAGACACAAAGTGATACGAGAATACAAATCACTAATGATGTCACCCAGACACTTGTTAGATTTACCATTCTGTTTCTCCAGAATATGTAAGCATGTAGCTACTCTCAAATCCATCAAGGGTGGGCCACCCCACTGTTTTTGAAGTCCCAGAATTATTTGTTTTTAAAGGCAAGAACATGCCAGAACAGGACTATAAAAATGATGGCATACACCAATGTGTTTTGACATATGTGTCATGCCTAACACTTAACTCAAAGATGCACTGACGTGGGTATAATGGGTGGAGACAGAGCGGATTTCTCCCCCTATCTTCATCAGACTAGAGTCTTTAAATATACTGACAATAATTGACAAGGGAAAGATTCACAGGAGGAAAAAAAAAACACATGTTTATTTATGGGCACAGGACATCACAGGAGGGCAAGTACCAAATAAGTCAATGAGGTCTAGAAGCTCATATACCCTCTTCATAGGGGAGAGGAAGTGGGGGAGGTGGGCAGTTTTTAAGAAAGAGGGGGACAGAATGAGGCCAAAGGGGCAAATTCCTCTTGGCTGTGGGTGTGGTATCTGATTTTCCATCACTTCCTCCATGCTATGAGTTTAATCGTCTTCTGTTAATGACATTTCAGTAAGATGACTGAAAGCAATTATGCTCCTCCTAGGTGGATCTGTTCTTGGATAAGGGAACTTCAGAAAAAGAGAAAAGAAATATAATGTGACATCTCTATGTCAAACATACAATTATATGTCTCTTTAGTGGCTTCACGAAAGGGCATTGTATGTAGGTACCATAAAATGTTTAATAAATCCTCTCCTTAGATATTTATTTCTTATTTCTTTGCTAGTATAACACTCTTAGAAATATTCTTGTCTTGCTGCTTATTCATACATTTTATTCCTTTCTTAGGATGAGATGAGAGTTCTAATTCATATGGCAAAGATGTTCTCACATATTTTTAAGGTTTTAAATTTTTCTTTCAAAAACTGGTGTTCTCATTTTTAGAAAAGGAAAGCAAGTCTTCCCATGCCAGAGTTGGAATTGGGCTCTTTTACCCCAAACATTACTGCTTCTGAGCTGAATTGTCTTAAATGCCAAGAAATACCAGCCCAGTAACATATGGAGCTCAGAGGCAAAGAGCTGTGGTTAGGTATGGATTGGCCAGAAAGGCAAGCATGGGTATTCAGGGTTAAAGGTGGGGTTGCTCTGAGGGCACAGGGGTGGGGAGACCCACAGGGCACATGGAGCTACAGGATCTATAGCTTGTGTAGCTGTCTGTTTGGAGCAGAAAATGGAAATCAATGAGTGAGTTCATTCTCGGATGCCAGGCTGGGGCCAGAGTGAATCCAGCCTTCATTGTATAGCCTAGACAGAGCTGTCTTCCAAGCCCAGTGCCTGCAAGGGTCCCCAAGGTCACTCATTCTTGGCCTCTCCATTCTCACTTCCTCTATAAGCTTTGCCCCACTATGCAACAGTTTCTAACAAAACTCATTGGATGAAGTGATGGAGGTCTCCAGAAAAGAAAACTTATGGAGCATGAACTCATAGTAACTCTGGATCCTTCCTCCTGCCCTGCTGAGCCAGCCTTCCAATTGCCTACCGGCTCCATGCTTCCATTCTTGGCTCACCCAAAACCAAAATTTAAGAATCTGTACTCTCCAGCCCCCCGCCCCCCACCCATTTGCAAGCAAGCTCCTCTCTCCCTCTGCTTCTGTCCAGAGTTTCTCACCTAACACTGAACTTAGCCCTGCAGCCCTGTCCCACAAAACCCTCTTTCCCCATTACCTCCCAGACCATCCCGGGCTCAGCCTGCCAGGAGCGAGGAGGTCCCATAGAAAGCTACTCTTCCCCATCTGTTGAATCCTGTTTATCTTTCCAGCGCATACCACATTCTGTCATCTTTAAGAAGTCTACCCAGAAACCACATAGGATATCTTTGTGGTACTTACCAAACTCTATGATGTTAACTTCCTGGATGCCAACCAATGAATCGGAGCCTATGAATTCTCCTCTTCTATTTGGGAAGAAATCATGAGGCCTTGCACCCCCGAGTATCTGTGACTTGGGCACTGGTCTGTGAATGAATGAGCAGGGAAAAAAAGTGAGCTGATAGGCAAATGAGTGAGAGGAGACTAATGAAGCAGAGTTTATTCCAAAGGAGCCTGTTGGCTCCAAGATTTCCCTCAAAGAAGGATCTAGACAACATTCTGCTCAGAAGGGGACTTGAAGCTCCTTATCAAGTAGAGAACAACACAGGTCCAACTAAAAGAAGAGAGGTGAAAACCCATGGAGATCCAGAGGGAAGACATCCTCTTCTGACCCTTTAACAGCCTTCCTGGGTTTTTGTCTTACCTTTCACAGGCTTTAATACTTCCTATTGGTGTTTTTGTGTTGCCGGAGGTTTTTATGTTGACTGAATTACATCTCACTGTTTTTGAAAGAAAACCTGTTAACATATGTGTGATCTGTTTCTTGTAGGCAACTATGGTCCTGAGTTCTGCATACTTCTGGTTGGGATTAATTCTGGTTCCTACTGCATGTTTGCTCGAAGATGTGGCATGGAGAGCGTAAGTAGAAAATGAAGTTGTAGACCTAAGTCTTGCTCACCTGTCCTTAACAGCATCTCTCACATGAGCCCTGTCACAGGATATTAAGGGCAATAGGAATTCTGAATAATAGATTTCCTGCCACCGCTCAGAGAAAAGGGTGATGGTGGTATTTTTGTTTTTGTTTTTGTTTTTAACTTGTGCTTCATCTTAAAATGAAAATTTAGAGACTCAAAGGAATCCCCAGAGAGTCTGTGTGAAGGTCAATAGAAATCTTTCCTTGTACTTGATCCTAAGGAAGAGTTTCTAAATACAAATTCATTTCATCAAGTTAAAGAAGACAGAGCTGCTCTTGGGTCTTCCAAGCCCAGTGCCTGCAAGGGTCCCCAAGGTTACTCATTCTTGGCGTCTCTGTTCTCACTTCCTCTATAAGCCTTATCCTGTTCCTCCCACACTCAAACTTTTTTCTGCTTATATCTTAAACTCGATGCTAAGTGATCACAAATATGGTCTGCCTTTAAATCCCCATGCTTAAAGGAAAATTGTGTAAATGTAAGTCATGGCAAATGAGAAAGATGAAGTTGTCTTCATTTTTCCAAACAATTTACAGTAAGAATCCTTCCAAAAAAATTCTTCTAGGGACTTAGTTTACAGATCTATGAGAAAATCAAATCACAAAAGTAAAATTATAAAGTAGGTTAAATAGGAAATAATTCAGGCTCAATTTTTGTTTCTATACTTTAAAATACATTGTTTCCAATTTTTAAAAAAAGTTCTCATGACATTGTTAAGCACTCTCCCCACCAAAGGAGGTTCCAGTGGAAGCTGGGAGCACGCAGTTTCCAATTTAAAAAAAAAAAAAATTCTCACTGTATGTCTTGTGTACAGTGTAGAAGAAGCAACTCAGTCCCAAGATAACATAAATTTTAATTTCATCCAGGAACGAAAGAGATCTTACTCCAAATAAGATGATACTGATTTTGGTGTGAATGAGCCCAGTGCCTCCTACAAACAGTTGCCAGCATCCCTGAAAATTGAAACTCCTACCTTGGCTTTCCTTTGGGCAAAGCATAATTATTTTGGAGCCCTGAGGTAGAGAATCGAGACTTTAATCCAAACGGTCCAGGAAAAGACATCAGATTGCATTTTTATACTCCTGTTCCTCCCACACTCAACGAGAATTATTCTTGCCTGACAGTTAAGGATGTCTTTTGAAAAAGTCTTCTTTTTGGCATTATCTTGACAACCCAGGATACCTAATGCAACAAGAGAAGGGTAAAGGAATTTTATAGCACCTAGTTTGTTTTTATTTTCTTTTGCTTATTAAGTTTTCCAACTGTTAGTAAAAATTAAATAATTCTAACTTCCTAAATGTTTTCACTTACCCCTACTTTCATGTTAGATGTTAAAACTGTGTTCTGTAAATATCAGAATCAAAATTTTTGAAAATGAAATGTGGATTATGAGCAGAAAAGATACTTTCTTAATCTAAAAAAAAAATAAGAAAATATTAGTTCTACTACTTGTTTTTTTTAACAGTAAATATGTAACTTTATTGAAGGAAAATCTTAAACTGCTTAAGACCATACTATCATGGTTTTTTTGATCTTCAATTAGTACCGTGTTTTCTAATACACCCTGCTTCTGATGCCAAAGATAAGGACAATTTATGATTAGAATGGAGATACGCAGGTAAAGAAAACTCCAATTTCGCATCCTACTATTCTTCTCAATCCACAGAGTACTTCTTGCTAATATCTACAGTATATAGTTGTAGTTGGAAATTTAACCTTGGCATAAACTCTGCCTATGTCTCTACTATCTAATATGGTAGTCATTAGCCACATGTGGCTACATAAATTTAAATTAATCAAAATTAAATTTTTGTTTTTTGAGGAGTATGCCCAGTGGTGGCACACAGTATGTTTATTCCCTAGCTGAATTTGCCCAATGTTGTAAGAGCGTCCATTTTAGATAAATACAGCATGGCAGCATGGCCTTAGCTACATCAGATGGGTTTTTCAATGTGAAGTGATTGAGAATTAATAACATGCCCATAAATTAGTCTCAGACTGTCTTATTTCTGCTATCTTAAAGTTGAGAATGTGTTTTTTGCGGTACTGGAGATTCATCCGAAGGGCCTTGTGCATGCTGGGTGAAGTACTCTACTATTGAGCTATGTCCCCAATCCAGCTATCCTAAATTAATGTTGTGAGAACTTTTTTTTTTTAATTGCTACTTTTGCCAAATGAGACTTTAGCAAAAGAATCTTTCTTCCACTCAAAGAGAGTATTTGTAGATTAAAACGTCTACATGCCTCCCTATCTGTTCTCTGGATCCTTTCCAGTGCATTCCAAATCCCCCCAACAGGACTTGTTTGGGGTTGTGTTTGTAGTACCCAGCACTATAAAATTAGCACTGTTTACATTTTAACAATGATAAGCCAAATGACACTGCTTCCAGCTCCACCATATGGAAAGAGTAAAGTGTCATTTCCTTTCCAAGGAGTTTGCCAGCTGGGTTTGAAGCAGGGACCAAGGCCCCGCAAAGGAGGTTCCAGTGGAAGCTGAGAGCAAGCATGGAAGGTTGGCCTTACAGGCTTATGTCCAGTCCTAGCATTGGCCCAAATACAACTTTTCCCAGGAGTGACAGCTCAGATTCTGGCTGAGCCAGAAAGGGCCCTACATACTTCCTGAAATGTGTTTTATCTCATTTTATTTGGGAAAATAGTCTTCTGGGGGCACTTGTCCAAAAAAATATTCCCAATTTGTATTTCTATTTAATGTCTAAACTACAGTTATCCCATCACCAAAAACAAGAATTTTGAGAATATATTTGGGCATTGTCCCTCTGATCATGAGGCCTGTATTATATCTCATACTCCAACTCTGAAATATTCGTGCAAGCAAATTAATTTGGAGGCTCATCCATCCCAAGGGGAGAAATCATATTATGAATGCTCACCTCTGGGGAGGCCATAGTGCTTACCTATGAACTGCACCTTTAGAAAACCTGTTCTGTTTTTATAGGATTTGTTCTCCCCTACCCCTTCCTACACACACAATGAAAAGGTTAATCCTGGTTGTCCACAAGCACCCATCAATTGGTTTCGTTTGTCAGATATTTATTGCTGTGATGCACCTTGAACCTCCAAAGAGTTTTAAATTAGTGAACATGAATTAATGAGCAGCTGGGTTCAAACCCACCCATGTGCTTCAACTCCCAGCTCTGCAGAACTTGGGTAATGGCTGGGCATGGCAATGGTAGGGATCTTCAGACAATACTGCTGGGTGTTCCAGTCTTGCCTTGGAATATTGAAATAATTATTTCTTTGGTCTTGAATTTTGTGGCAATGCTTGTCCACTCTTGTTCTTTTCTCTCTCCTTCCTTCCTTCCTTCCTTCCTCCCTCCCTCCCTCCCTTCCTTCCTTCCTTCCTTTCTTTTGAGATGAGGTCTCTCTTTGTGGCCCAGGCTGGCCCCAAACTCCTGGGCTCCAGCAATCCTACTGCCTCAGCCTCCAGAGTTCCTGGGGTTACAGGTGCGCACCATTTCACCTGGCGGGTTATGTTCTCTTTTGAAAGGGCTTTAAAATTCCAGCAAATGGCTGCTGCCTTATTCAAATAGACTTCTGTGAGCACCTAAGAAAGTGAGCGAGTTGCGCCATCTTTCCACATTTTCCCCCTCTCTTTGCCCAGTCTCTCACTTCCAATTCAGGACCTGGACTGTTAAGAAGAGAGAAACGGAATGAGGTAATTCAGTCATTTTTTTTTTCCATGAAGTCTGTCAACTTTCTGGATGAAGATCCATTATTAGACTATCTTTAGTCAGATTTGGATTGTCATAAATGCTGGCCCTATTATTCTGTTCACTAGAATTTTTATGAAGGACCAAACCAGCCTATCTTTTATTAAATAATTGGTTGATCACATGTGATATATGGCTAATGAGCAGTCCTATTAGAAGCATGAAGTGTAAATTGCCCAAAACTATTTTAACACCCTTTAGCTTACACTCTTCCAAATGTTTACCTATGACAGCATGCTTAGATAAGCTGCCACATACAGATTCTCATCTAGGAGAAATTTGTCAGTTTTGCTTTATAAAAATAATACAAGTTCAAGACCACTGAGCAGAGAGGAACCAGTTTCCTTTTCTTGAACTATATCTCCTGCCTTTTACCAGGCATCACACAATACATTCCCCAATTCCAGAATGACTTCATTTCCTTCTTATAATCCCAGATAGGCAGTTAAATGGCAATAAAAGGTAATAAGCAATATATATATATATAT